TGTCTTTGCTTGAGGACAAGCAAAAGCTTAAGTGTGGGGGTATTTGATGAGTACATAATTTACATACAATTTATAAGGATTTATGCATGATTTTTATGACGGTTTGTTTGAGTTTTACCCCATTTTAGCTTAATTTCAGGAAATATTTCAGGGGAAACCAACTCAGGAGAAAGAAGGTATAAAACAAAAAGAAAAGAGCCAAATTTGAGGTAATTTAGCCCAGCTAGAACCATGGCCCAGCCGAGAGAATGAGAGAGGTTCACTCGGCCCATGCAGCCCATGCTACACTCTTTGGGAGAACCCAAAGAGAGAGCCTAGCAAGAAAGCCAATTCGGCCCAGCAAAGAGGAGGCCCATTTCAGCTCAAGAGCAGCCTAAATTGCAGCCCCAAAACAGCCCAAATTTCAGCCAAGGTGCAGCCCAAAGTGCAGCCCAAGAAGAACTAGGGGCGGCAACTTCTAGAGAGTTCAAGAGAAAGGGGCAGCATTTTCTATAAGGTTCAAGAGGAGAAAAGGCCAGCAAATTCTAAAAGTTTCAAGAGAGGCTAGAGGTGGCAACTTCTAGACTCCTTGAAAGCCTATTTAAGGAGGTCTCTTGGAGGGGAATGGTGTTCAATTGCCTAAGTTCAAGTCTCCTTGGTCTCTTGGGTTCGAAATTCAAGGAGAGGAGAAGAGAGATAGCTAGGCGCAAGAGAGAAGGAGCTGAGGAGATCCAAGCATTCCAAGAAAAGAAGAAGGTGAATTCGAAGGAGGAGAAGCTTTTGAGAGATCTAGGTCACACTCTTACTTAATTTTTGCATCCTTTGTGTTCGAATTCAGCTAGAGATTATGTAATTTCTCCATCTATCTTTCTTTCTTGCTGTAATGGATGTTTGATTGTTGTAAATTCAATTCTGTAATTAGTTTTCTTGAATCATTCGAATAGATCAGATCCAACTTTGAGTTTCTTGATTAGAATATTAATTGTAGAACTGATCAGCTGAATTGTTGTCTTACAAATTCAGATCTGTAATTTGTAATGTCTGAATTGCTTGAGAGAGAATTCAGACATTTATCATCTAGTATTGGCCGATCTGTTCTACACTCTTGGAAATTCTAGAGTGCTTGAGAAAGACTCTAGAATTTCAGATCTACTACTCAAGAACTGAATTGAATGCAAGATTAGAGATAACTTGCACAATTCAGTTAGTGATCATTCAATCTGAATTGATGCCCTTGAAATGTTTGATCTAATGCATGCATGAATGATTAGATTCTTGATAGAGATATAAGATTTATCATTCATGCATAGGATGAACATGTGCTTGAAAGAGGTTGTTCATTGCCTTGGGGATTCACCAAACCAAGGTTGAATCAAATTCTATTCGAATGATTTAGAGAGCTAATTGCTGAATCACTTTTGGGTATTTTTAGCTTATCCTCTCAACTTGAATACAAGGTGTTTGAGTCAATTCCTAGTAGATAGTTTGTTAGCTAGATTTTCAGATTTGAATTAGATTTAGAATTCGACTAATCAGATAAGAGCAGGCTGATATAATACTAGTAGTTGCTACATAAGTTCTCGTGGGAACGATACTCTATTCATCACTCTATTACTTGAGTGGCTAGTGCACTTGCTAGTGTCACCAAGACGCACCAGAGTCCCATACGGACAAGGAGGGTAAACTCCACCAGGGGAGAGGAGTCATCTTGAAGACCTCGGTGGGCAGCATCATCCGACAACCCCGGAAGCCTCATCCGAACAAGACATGGATCTCCAGCTCTAAATAGGTAATCCCCATTCAGGGTAAGGGACTTCTTTTATTTTGGATACCTACACTGCTTCTTCTACTTGGATCAACACTATTCTCATCTGCTTGGTCCGACCTCATACCCTTTGTTTCACTGACTTGAGTGTCGGAGTGCCTACCCAGGGAACAATTCCTCAAGCCTCTAATCTTCTTTCTTGATTTTAGATTCTGATGTGGCTTCATCCTTCCACCTCGGTTTCACCCAATTTGTAGGATTATCTGACTACGATCTTGGTTCGAGACACCTCAAATCAAACAACATCAGTTAGAGCTCTAAATGGGTCATTTTTATATGATAACATACTGATTATGTCAGTTCTTGTTTTGCTTTGTGTCCCGATTAATAATCGGATTGGATCTATTCTTGCTGCTCTAAATGGATTATACGGTTAATAATATATAAAGATTTTCTTACTTTTTTTTTGTATTTTTTGTTATATTTTATATTCAAAAATAGGATTGTCAATGGATCAAGTTTATCTGATGGATATGAACATACCAAATTGAATATAACTTTTGGCTCCATGATTTTTTCCTAGTTAATAATTGGGTTAGTTTCGATTCTTTCTTATATCGAACTAATTCATATCCATAATAGATTTTTATTAAATATATAATATTCTAATTATTAATTGGGACGATTTTAGATCTATAATTTTGTCCTAATTAATAATCGATTTGAAATTGATTCTACCTAGACCCGATCTAACCCCATTGAGAGCCTTATCCAAAAGGATAAATTTTTAGAGAAATAATTTTGATTAAAAACAATTATTTCATCAATATATAAATAATTTATTATTTTATTCCATTTTTACAAAGGTTATATTATAAAAAATAGGAAGAAGTAGGGACAGGCATAATACAGATTTCTGAATCCCACTGCAGATCTATAAACATTCAAAATATCAAATACCCACATTCTATGCACCAAAGCCCACTGTAAATTGGCATCATTTGCAAATTGCCACCTACCCCAACATTACTTTAAACCTACAAATTCTGACCTTGGACTGAAACGTCATTTTCCCAAGTTTTAAATTTTTATTATCTTAGGTAATTATAAATGTCAAAGTATAAACTGATGATTGGCTCAATTCCGGTTCATGTTATAGGAACTCAATCGGTTCTGGACTGTCTAAATCAGACACGACCCATTGACAACTCCGTTATGAATTATGATAATGGACCACTCCAACCACAAGTGATGGGATAGGAGGCATATTAATGGTTTTTTCTTTTTAATCATTAATGAGTTCAAAATCTTTTGAACTTCTACTCGTCATACTGGACCAATCACAATGTACCACATCTATTCTACATCACATGGGTAACTCGCAGAGGATTGGTGGAAGTGGGTCCCGTATAATTGGCAGGGACTCAAGGAGGGAGGGACAGCACCCATTTGCCGATCTGTGTAAAAAAAATCTAAATTTTCTGGAAAACTCAGACAACAACCGAGGAAAAACGGAGTACGTAACCAGACATCTTCCCACTTGAAAAAGAAACCAAAAAAACAAAAAGTTGGGAAATTTAAGGCAGCGTTTGGTACTTCTTTTTTTACGGATGAGATTTGGTAAATTCGAAAGACCTAAAATCGATCTTATATCTAAAAGTCGAAAAGATGAAAAGATGCATACGCAAAAAGATTTGAAACCTCTATAGTTTAAATACATTATTAAAAGTCCAATAGACCAAGCCGTTTATCAAATGGTCTTTGAAGAACATGAAAATTTTGGCCATCTGACTATCTTTTTAAAACTACTTGCCAAACCATACTTCTTCAGTATTCAGAAGTCAGAACACCTATATAGGATTTTTATAAGGGAAAATTCCATTTTAATATCTTGAACTTTGAGGATAGTGTCAAGTTAATATTCAAATTTTCAAACATGTTATTACAGTATTTAAATTTTAAAAAAGTGTCAAGTTGGTACCTATCATTAACTGACCGTCAAGTATTTATTGAAAATGTCAAAACTATCCTTCAAAAGAAGATACTGTTCATTGTCTTATACTTTAAGATTGAGTGATTGAGGTATTTGAGATTCTAAACTAATAAAGTCATTGTCTTCTAATTCTACCTTTAGATTTAGATCTGAAATACATTTTTTTTCTAATTATTTTTTTATTTTCAATTATTATTTTCTTTTATCATATTTTATATTTTTTCTCCTTTTTTTTTAAAATAACTGATTCAATCTAAAATAACTAAAGGTCAATTATTAGAGTTCACATCTCCACCCCAGAGCCGCCCCACAGCACATCTCCACTGTATATTATGAACATCTCCTGTGATAATACTAGTCACGATCATGTCATCATTGGGAAATATTCCCAAGGGGAATGTGTTGTGGGGCGGAGATGTGATCTCCAATTATTGACAATGACCAATTTAACATTTTTTAAAAGTTTATACTGCAGTGACAAAGTTGGGGTACAAACTTGACATTACCCTAAAATGGAATTTTTCCTTTTTATAAGGTTTTTGGGATTTTTATTGTTCTCCTGCTTTCGCGGCTCACACGCTGACCCGGCCCGGCGGGACGGGGCCTTTGTTCTGAGTTCTGACTGTTTTCGAGATACCCAGAACAGTTTCTTACGTGTCAAGTATCGACCAAACACGTCAGCTGCGCGGCGCTGGTCCTCCCAGAGTTCGCCACGTATGCATACTACCCCCTGAGACCCAAAAGAAAGCGATGACATCTGACAGACAGGAATATGAAAAGCCTTTTAACTCGGCGAAGCCATGAAGGAATTCTATAACGTATCTTAGGTGGGCCAGGCGGTCGCTTCCAAGTACATCAGTGGGCTTTTTTTAGTAGCCCACGTATCACACGACACCAAAGCACGGCCCCCTTTGGGTAAGGTTCTAGTGGACACGTGTAACACCAGTATAGTCGATTTAATTGATCGAGGCGACCGCTGTTTTTGTGTCGCGGTATTTTGATTTGCTCACGATAAAAAAGCCGGTACAAAACTTAGAACACGAGACTCTACGAGAGGGAAAACCAACCGGGCGTCTCACGTCTGGGTCTGGGCGAAAAGCATAGCAGCAGAAAATGTTTGTTCTTTTAAGACGTCATCGAGGACCAGGTGTCACCAATGCAATAGGAAATGGTCGGTGACGGGTAGGGCGGGCAGTACGGTCATCTGCCCGTGGAGTCACCTGGCCCGGCTTCTTCCACGAAAAAGGAGAGAGGAACCACGTCGCCGTTTCCTTCTACGACTTATTAATAAAGTGAAACTCAATTTGTCTTTCCTTTTCCCACTTCCTGATGTATATTCTACGTTGATATGTATATATATAATGTTAAAATCCTCAGCGGAGATGATGCACGGCGGGAGAGGATACTTATCGGCGCTCGCTCTGTGTTGTGCTCTTGTACTTACGGATGTCAATGGCTGAGGTTTGTCGAAAAATGGTGAGTAGCGAAGGCTCCTCCGCAAACTGCCGGGAAGCTCGCCGGCGGCGAATGGAGCTAAGGAAACTTGCTGGTGTCGCCGTAGTGCCCGGTTCGGAGTCACCTTCACGGGACAGTTTAAGTTGTAAGGAGAAACGCCAAGATAATTCCAATCATTCGGATAAGAGGAAAAGAAATCGAACGAGTGAAATTTCTGACTGTCCATCTCTATCCTCTTCATCACCGTCGTCAGAAAGCCGGGAAGCAGGAACTTCGTCGACTATGCGGTCGACTTCAGTCCAGATTTTACTTGACGATACAGTTCCGGCTTTTGGTTCGATATCGGTCTCCGGGCGTTCGCGTGAGATGGAGGATTGCTTATATGTACGAGTAAACCTCTGCCGGCCTGAGATTACCTGCGGTCGACCGCTGCATTTCTTTGCTGTGTATGACGGCCATGGTGGTTCTCACGTAAATCTCAACAGCTTTTCTTTCTAAATGAGATTTTATTTGAAAAAAATATAGTTACTAAGATATTAACATGATCTAGGTGGCTGAAATGTGTAAGGAGCGGATGCACGTGTTCTTAGAGGAGGAGTTGATGCGGGAGGAGTCGGAATCCGGTGAGGATGGTAGAACCGCGCAACAGGAGCGGTGGAGGTCGGCGATGGGGAGGTGCTTTGAGAGGATGGATGAAGTGGCGCTGAACGCGTGCGCATGCGGGAAAGTGGTGACGCCTTGCGAGTGTGAACGAGCTGGGTTGACGTCGGAGATAGTCGGGTCGACGGCTCTGGTGGGTGTTATCACACCGGATAGTATCATTGTTGCCAACTGCGGGGACTCGCGCGCAGTTCTCAGCCGTGGAGGGAAAGCCATACCTCTATCTTTCGATCACAAGGTTCGTCGCTGGCCCTTCAATTTATCAAATTCCCGGTAACCATTTCACGTAATGTTAGCTTTAGCGGGAAATGTCCGATGGATGTTCATTGAATCCACTCAGTTGTGCGTCGTGTTTACTATCTATTCCGGAATAACTCCGGGATTCTCTGTTGGAGTTTGGTGTTATTCCACCCGGGTGCGCCACCTGTCCAATGACACGAGCAACCCATCTGTCCTTTTTCTATAAAACGAAAAGAAAAGAAAGGAAAAGAAAACCTCCGAAGTTTCAATATTCTCCGCTGATCTGATTCTGATCCTTTGCCCTGTTTGCTTGCCGCCTTCCTCTCCCTCCGGCGGTAACTTCAGCACCATTTCGGAACGCTGGGGGTTGGGTGGACCTTAGCGAAAATCCGACATTACCGTTTTCTTTGGCGGAGAATGATGGAATGGCATAAGATTCAGACGGCGGGAAGGGAAAGGACGACGATCACCGACGGCGAGTGTTTCGGGGGAGAGCAGGGTTGAGTTTCTCTTACAAAAATCATGGAACAGGTGGCAAATCCTAATTGGGAGAACGCCAAATCCAACAGTAATGGAAATAGAGGGATATCCCGCCGCGCCCTGAGACTCCTCACACAAACGTGGCACGCATGCAATCGAAATTCAAACCATGATAATGGAGTCCGGTTCGGATATTTCAGGATCAGATATGGGGACCCATATTGCCCACCACGTGGGTAGTGCTTACAAATTACAAATCAGATGAGGATCGATCCGTTATGGATTGGGTCCAGGTGTTTGATTAGCCGGGCCAAAGGTCCGAATAGCAAGATTAAAAAAATCTTCCGATTATTTGGCCCGGCCCAGATCCATCATCATCTATAATCGCGAAATAGATATGATGTTTCCAAATTTTTGGTGCAGCCGGACAGGCCGGATGAGCTGTCTCGAATCGAAGCGGCCGGGGGACGGGTAATCTACCTGAACGGAGCTCGAGTCCTCGGAATTCTGGCAATGTCCCGGGCTCTAGGTACTCGTTTTCTTATTCTCAAGCATATATCATATCGTTATAGTAGCAAAAAGATGTGATTGATTCCATTCCAATGGCTGGGCTCTTCTCAAGCATGTAATTATTGCTGTATCAATTCTTAGTATTCTAACCACGTGGGCAGGTTGTTTTGGTCCCACAAGATTGGATCCGACGGTGTGCTGTCGCATTCCTATTTGTGCAATTGCAACATCTAGGAAAAGAACCTCAGAAGGAATCACGAGTGAATGAGTCAAGGCAGTGCCTTGCTCTTGCCTTTCTCTTTTTTTTTTTTTCCTACCCCTTCATTTTTTTTTTACTAAGAACACGTAGAACCTGGAAACATTGATTTTTTAGTCGCTGTCTAAGAATTCCCACAATAAATTTTAGCTCCACCGTACAGTTGGGTAGGTGTCAAGATCGGAATTGCGATTTGATATTTTGAATTGTTGTTGGTCAGTAATATAATTTATATTATTTTTTTTAAACTTCTCTTGCAAAGCACTCCGTTCGGATGCCACCACCTGTCATCTATTGGTTTTCCATGATGAAAACTCTACGTACAACTTTATTAGATGAATAGCAAACCAGAAACATCAGCTATGTTTGATGTTGACTAAGAGTATGAGTGACAGGGTCGTTCCTAATCCCAGTCCAACCTCTCTAAGTAAGAACTAAGAAACCTTTGGTCGGTCCTCGGTCGGAGCCCGTGCCCAGGTCCCAGGACCATCTTTTTCAAATGCTTATATTTCTAATCTTGGCCCAATGAAGCAGTCACCCTTTCTTTATATACTGGTTTTGTTCTTGAACTCAACAAAACTTTACCCATCAATTAGGGTTAGGCCAATGTTTTAAAACCCAATCGAGAACCAGAACCGCTTTGGCCACTGGTTTCTGGGTCAGTGGTTCAACTGCCCGATCAAATGGATCATCTCTAGTCATTTAAAAAAAAAATTAAAAAATATGATTAAAATAAAAAATGATTCAAAAACTGTTTTTGGGTCAAATTGTGGTTGATGGTTCGACTACCCTGGCTTATGAGAATAACAGTTTGGGGCTGAAAAGGAACTGGTATCCAGACCAGTTTCCGGGCTGAAGGGTCCAACCATCTTCATCAACAATGGTTCGAAAACCTTGGCTTAGGAGGCTACATGAATCCTGTTCTTCCATTCCGCTATGTCAATGCAAGGTCTTCTATTAAAAAATTCTAGAATGTGGAGGCATTATTATTCATGGCCTAAGAATGGTGGGGTAATAAAAAGGGATGGATAAGTTTATGGATTTCATATGTTTTACTTTATGGGTCTAAGAGTATTTACCAATGTAATGACCACTGTATTTATCTGTTAGGTTGTTGGGAGTTTTCCAATTCCTTGGAATATAAGAAGAGACATTTAGGCTCAGTCCAGGAGTACAAATACAAATATGTAGAGTGCAAATCCTTGTATTTTGCATTATTTTGTACTGTACATATTTGTATTTGTACTCCTAAGTTCTATCAATCTGATCCAATGATATTAATCTGGGTTTCTTGCCTTCCTAGTCTCTAATATATATTCATCAAAAAAGGCTGTCTTCAAGGAAAAAGATTAGTTTCCAAGCTCATGAATTTGGATTAGAAACTGGACCTCAATTTGGATATAATTTGATCCCATCCAAGTCCTTGTTTACTACCTTATTGACAAAGTTCTTGCACCCCTTGCTGCAAATGACCACACAGGGGAAGAATCTTCTACCAAAGAATATGCAAAATATTTATTGGGATATGGAATTCTTGTTTTATTTGAAAGGGAGTGGTGTGGGGTGTTGCCTTATCTTTTTTTTTTCCCTTTTCTTTGTTTGTAAAAGGCTCCTTTTGTTTGTGGTTTGAATTTCTTTTGCACTGGTGTATATGCATGGGAATGCAAATGGTCTGAGTGCAAATTCTGGTTTACTTTTGCTTTCAATTTATCTTTGTTTTGTTTTTGTTTGTGAGGAGCAAGATAGCAACGTCGTGGTCCCCTCTTTATATGAAAGAGAATGGTGGCAAGGAGAAGGGTTGTCTATTTGGAAGGATTAAAATAGGAAGTAAAATGATGTGATCGACAGACTTTAAAATGAGAGAATTAAGTGGGGATGATCATAGGCCGGGTCAGGCTCAAGCTGGACCAAGTTTTTATAGGCTTATTAACAGCCATTAGGGTTGCTCAGGCCAGGATAGGATCTGGGCTAGCCCATATAAATTAATAAAATATATTTTTCCAAAAATAAAATATTAATTTAATTTTATAATCAAAATTACGAAAATGATAGATAAAGCACTAATGGAACAGAATGGCCAAACATGGTTCCTGTAACTGACCCTATATAGTTGAGGCAAGGCTTTTGGAATGCAAATTTTGCACTACTGATAAGTAACTGAAACAAAAGTGCAAATTTTATATCAGATAGAAGTACAAATCAGTCATAGTCACAAACAAACAGATGCATAACTGAATTTGTTTCTGGTTCAGATTTGCACAGCAAACAAACAGAGCCAAAGAGAAAAAAAAAAGAAAAAAAAAACAAACATAAGCATCATAACCTCCCAAAGACATCAAAATCACTTTGTTCTAATAAAGTTATCAGAAAGAAGTACAACGCTACAACCCAAACCCAAACAAAACCAACACCGAATTCACACGACACAAATCCTAAATCCAACTCACCTCATCTAATAGGTCAAACCTTTCTACACATGATCAAAGCTTCATTCTGTAAATCTTCTCCACAAAAGAAAGGAAAACCACACCAGTACACCTTCAACCTTTTCTTTTAGTCTCAGTACCATCCACCTCCTCCCAATAACACCTCCTCAAGAAATATCTCACTCTGCTTCTAAATGTATGTTGAAGGCCATTTATTTACAGCTTTTTAATCTCTTATAGGAAACCCCTAGATTGACTGTGTGCTCAAACTAGATTAGGGGGCTTTATTTGATGAACCATGAGGAGCTTCTCAGATTTACAGTTACCGCATTAGGAAATGATGACATAACCAAAACATGCCAGCCATTCTGGACCCATCAACTGTTTACCAAAAAAAAAAAATTTATGGACCATCAACTAAGTTGTTACACAGAAGGTTAGCTGACCTAGGTCTATGTTTTTGTAACTCCTAATCTAAAGAGTAGGTATAATTTATGCTGCCTGGTTCTTGGGTTCATTCGGTTGAAGTTCAGGTCTATTTTGGTTTTCTGCAATATCTTTTGTTTTTAATTCACTAATATATCGATCTATTTCATAGATGCTTCTTGTAGTCTGATCATTTTTGCACTGTAAAAAGTATAGTTTGAGGCATAACACAGTAGAGATATTACATGTACAGATATTTTGCATTTTCTATTAAGGTTTAAAAAATTACTATTTGGTGTCTAGTTTTAGGAGAAAATGCAATTATGAGCTTTGCCCCTAGAGGAAAGCTCATAGTGCTCCAAGGTTTAACATTGATACAATTGGATTGGAGAAATCTGATTGTACAAAGGGGCTGATGGGTTGTTATTGGCTGGATGTCCACAAATTCAGATGACTCCTGTGTCAGTTCTAGTTGAAGAGAAGAGACAAGAGGGTCACATGAAAATCGATGGGTGTGTACAGTATGCATACACCTAGAAAAAGATATATATATATATATATATCTTTGTCCATCATCCTTATTGAGGATGATGTAGCATCAGGAAGGATTTGTCAGGAAGGATTTGTCCATCATCCTTACTGAGCTTTAGGTTGAGTTCCAACGATGTATCAACTTGCTTCGAGTCAGAGAGATTGGCCATCTTAATCAAGTCACTAGCATATTTGTGTTGATTAACAAAGTATCCTCGAGCACTTCTGGTGATCTCAAAACCAAGAAAGTAGGTCATAGGACCAAGGTCCTTCATTTTGAAGGATTGACTGAGAAGTTACTTCAACTGAATGATCCCTTCCAAGTCATCACTAGTAATAAGTATATCGTCAACATACACTAGTAGAAGAGTCACTTCTTTGGGGATGGCAAAGAATAAAGAGGGAATAATTTGAGGCACTCTACTGAAATCCTACTTCAATAATAACCCCTCAGAACTCCTCAAACAAGGCCCGTGGGGCTTGTTTAAGCCTATACAAGGACTTCTTTAATTTGCAGATTAGAGTAGAATCATCACAATAGCCTGGAGGAGGCTTCATATGCTTTTTTTTATCAGTAATAGTAAAACTTTATTAATGACGTCAATGTTTATGAAGGTTTAGATACAATAGGGGAGGTAAAAAGTCTTAGAGGATTTACTAATTTATGTAGATGTTATTCTAGTTTTCAGTGAAATCAGAATGAGATGTTGGAATTTCAGAAATCCTGATGCAAATTTAATCCTTGGCTGTATTTGAATCCCCTTGGGTCTCTCTTACACACACATATAAAAAAAAAGTCTGATTTGCAACTGTTGTTTTGTGCTTTCACATCAGAAAGGATTTCATGCAATGGTATGTGAATGCTATAGTGTTTTAAACCAAACACCAGTTGAGGTCTCTCCGGATTGTCCTGTGACCAATGTGATCTCTGTTATCATGGGCTAGTTTTAGGCTTTTAGCTAGCATTTCTCTATACAATGACACGTGCATGCAACACCAAAATATATTTTCACATATTTGTACAACATACCCAAAAAAATACTATGGCAGAAAGGCAAATGTTGAAATGGATTACTGGGAAAACTAGAAGGGGTAGGATCAGAAATGAACATATTCATAGGAACCTAGTAGTGGACCTGATAGGTGAAATGGGGGAAGTAGACCCACAGGATTTTTAGACAGGTGATCATATTATCAAGTTTCTATCAGAAACCCTAGAGTAAATAATGTAAACAAATAACAGCTGTTCATTCAGACAGGTTTGAAGACTGCTATAGTTTCAACCTCTTAAAAAAGTTAATGATATCATAGTTGTTCTATGATATCAATGACCAACCCCTAGTTGGAAAAGCTTGTTTGATGTTTGTGATAGTCTGCTCCTCTGATTGCAAAGCCCATCAATGTAATGAAGAGTTGAGTGGGCTGCTGAAGCTTTGACATCTGAGCTCATTATGTTCTATGCTACAAGGTATCTGTAGAATGTGTGGTTGGATGCCTTGTTGGTTGTATGTAGTTTCTATCAGAGTATTCTAACATAGTCAGTATCTTATTATGTTTCTCTTCTTGCTGATCTCATTTGGTTCTATATAGGAAAGTTGCACATTTGTCTAGGTTAGATCAAATGAGGTTGGCATTGTTGGCACATTCTACATAAAATCATGTGCATTGCAAGGTATCCAATCTTGATTTCTTAGATACAGGGTGAATTGGAAAAATACTTTTCAGAATAGATAAATTGTAAGGCGGATCGGAAAAGCTCTCAATTTGGATTTTTCCCATACTCTTCTATACCACAAGGCAGTTGGTCTTCTTCTGGTCTGGATGGTGTTTCCCCTTTCTGTCTGCTGCTACTACATTCTGGTATGCAATGCTGGTCAACAATCAGCTTACACTGGTAAGAGTCCTTTAATTAGAATTATGCCAGTGTTTTGGTCTAAAGGTTTTACAAAAGGGAAAGTTGCCTAGCCTTTACACAACTAATGTTACATAAAAGAATGATGCAGGCAGATTACACATTGTCATTATTGGATATATGTTGTCTGTTCCTACTGTTAGAATAGTGCTGCAACTTTGCTATCATGTATGGTTACAAGTTAACTGATGTAATATGTACATCTCTTTCCCCATCCTGTTTAGTCAGCTCATTTATTCTTGATAAACAGGTGATAAATACCTAAAACCAATAGTGATCTCTGAACCAGAGTTGACAATCACAGAAAGGACCCCAGAAGATGAATGTTTGATCCTAGCAAGTGATGGCTTATGGGATGTACTGTCAAATGACATGGCTTGTGATGTAGCTCGCAGGTGTCTACAGGAGGCAGAACCATCCAATGGCACACGAATTTTGAACTCAGAACCTCAGCTTGAAGGTAATGATGGTGAACATCAGTGTCAGTCAAGGTGCTCACTAGCTGCTGCCCTGCTCACTCGCCTTGCATTGGGGCGAAAAAGCGCAGACAACATCAGTGTCATAGTCATTGATCTGAAAAGAGCTTGAGGTAAAGCAAAAGAGGTGGTTTCTTTCCATATGGATTCTCAATACACACAAAAGGAAGAACTGATAAAAAAAAAACATAAACATACAAGGGGGAGAGGGTGTATGTTATGTAGAGGTGTTTGAGCCAGAGATCCTTTCCATATGGAGAGATTGCTGTTATCATAGCTTTTAGTTGGGGAAAGCAAGCATGATCCAAGGAGGGAAGATTGTGTCCTCTTTTATACCTCTCCCATCTAATGGGTCTCACCAAACTAGGAACCCAAAACAAACAAAAAAAAAACAGCAACATGTGGATTATTACATTGGTTTTTCAACTTTGTACAGACTCTTCCCTGGATAGTTTCGTCAAGATGTTTCCAATTGGTATGAACATGAACTGAATTGCATGGGAGAATTAGAAGGGTATGAACATCACCTCAAGGGGGGTCTTTCCTCGATGGACTCAAAATTAATGCAATAATTCATCCAAGAGTTCATTCTATGCTTTCCGTAACCAATCAGTTTCCTTTGAAAATTTCTTCATATTTAGTGAGCTCTCAAACAAAGAAAATATTGAGAATTTATACGATTGTAATTACAAAGCTGCACAAGTGCTAAAGGTTTTAACTCAGCGAGGGAACGGCGGCCTACGAAACCAAATAAAGTACCAATTCTTTCCAAGACAAATAAAGCCTTTTACCCAATATAGGACTGAGGATGGATGGAGAAATTGATAATTTGTGAGTTATTCAGCTACCAAATTGCTCTCGTGGTTAGTTTGGAGAATAAGCATAATTCCAACTGGTTGGTTCCGCCCATCCATGGATGGCCGGTCCGGATATCTAAACCGTGAATCACAAGCACTCAATCAGTTATCTTAATATCCTACCAACAACAAACAGAAACATCTGCTATCTCAATAGCAAGTGAAAATATGTACCCTAGTTTATAATTGTAAAAAAGCAGTCAATCATCAACACGTAGGCTGTCTTAATAGCCAAACCTTTAATCAGCTGGGCTTGCCCGGTACTGCTATACCAACATGGTTTATAGCTAGCACATCTCAAACATATTACTACTTTGTTATTGATGTGGTTGTACTGCCCAAACTTTTAAGTTGAACAGCTAATAAGCTGGTGCCTAAGGCTGCATTTGACACTGAGTTTTTAATTAAAGAAAAGGAGATAAGTCCTGAAAATAAGGAATGCCAAATGTAACCTAAAGCTTTTTCAAATGACAATTTATTAGCAGTGTTAACCTTGGGGTTTAAAATGACAACACAGTTCTGAGCTTCTTCTTGAACATCCATATTTCTAGTTTCTTTCTGAATGCCAACAATCTGATTTTTATTTCTCTTAAACGCCAACAATTTAGATTTCTTGGATGCCCATAAGATGGCTTTCTTCTTGAATTCCAACACTTGCATTTTAT